AGAGAGAGAGAGAGAGAGAGAGAGAGAGAGAGAGAGAGAGAGAGAAAGAGATACCACTGGATCCATTTCATAGGAAAGTGGCTCTAGAATGTAGTCTTCATCTTGAGCTACTCCATTCACCAACAATTTTCCATTGCGAACCTAGAGCATGAGAAAGCACATTATTGTATAAGGAATTAAATTCGAAACGCAGGAAACTGTAAATCAGAGAAAGGGTGCTAAAAAACATACAGAGTGGAAAAAATTAACATAGGTAATAAACTCACTTGCACGCAATCCCATTCTTTGGCGACGATCCGCTTTATGAAAACATCACCTGAACTGAAACCTTTTTCCTGCAGAAAATACCGCAGACACACATTCATTTCTATAGTCCATATACTAGAAAATTGTTATCTAAAAATGATAATTCAATATGACCATATACAATGTAATAGAAGCCCAACCTGCAAAACTGGAGGAGCCTTGAAAATTACAATATCTGCAACTTCTGGCTTGCGGAAAAGGTAAGACACCTGGACATTCAGAACAGGAAATTGTGAACCTCAGGCCTCAAACATAGGAAATTAAGGAAGAAAAGTTTGAAGCCAGTCTAAAGAGGGACCTCATCATTATCATTGAGGATATTCACTTCAATGGCAAAAATTAGACAACCAAAATAAATGCAACATAATTTCATAACAGAATGATCATCTGCAACTGCAACCACATCAAGTTCAAGAGACAGACCTATATAAGCAAGCATGCACCTTGACATGAGAACAAATCGGTTACTTTGACATGCATCTTAACTAATATGAAAGCACAAGGAAGGCCAGAATCTAGTTTCAGAAGAACAATGGAAGAATACAAACTCAGCTCAAACCACTTCAAGTACAAAGTGAACACCACATGGCACTAACACTTGTGCAAGCATCCAGGCGGATTACGAAATCCACTCTGACACTCTGAGAATGAACCATGCCTCTCTCCATGCACATGTTTTAGGCACCCTCCCTTCCAAATGTAGTTTGATACTTTCTGACGCATGTGCAAAACAACTTTTACAAGTCCTGAGTATATGGGTATTAAGATGCTAGCAATAAAGAAAGTGATTTAAAAGTTACATGATACTTGGAAACCTAAGAACCCTAGCAAAGGATATTCTCGACTCCCAAGATGTAAATATATACTAATAGATAATATACATGCAAGTTTTAAGTCAAGGCTTTAATCAATAGCACGGGCTGCACTCAATTGAAATCCATCATCATTAGATGTAACTTGTTTAAAACAAACTCTAAGAAGTAATTGAATAACAGAAGCAAGCACCAAGGCACCATGCAAAAGATCAAGATTCAACACAAAATCAAGCACCATGGCACAGTTCAAATATCAACATCCAACACCATTGACTACAAAATAAAGAGAATCCGAACCCATCCGAACCCTACCTCTACAATATTGAGGAGTATTTGGACACCATCTACTATTCATGTTTAGACCTATGAAATTGTAATTTGGATTTTTCAATATAATGATAAGCGCAAAGGCATCTTTCTAGACTCTATAATGTAAAGCTCAGGTTGGGATGAAATCAGCTGTCTGCTATACAATGTTTGTAATTCTGTACTGAATGAAGACATTAGTTCACACACATATCTGAAATCTTCTAATTTCAGCAAATTCCTTTATTCATTTGTGTGCTCAAACCGAAATTAATCTATGTTTCCCCAATTCTAATCAAATTCAATTGTTCTTTGTTAACCCCCAAGCTTTTACATTCCTCTAATTCAAAGCAAATTCTTTCATTCCTCTCTGTACCTGAAGCCAAATAAACCTGAATTCCATCTATCCTAACCATAGACTAAGATATCTCACGCATAAGCATCAAAAGAACAAATGATTGTTTTTTAAAGTGACATCAATTAAATATTATTAGTCAAAAAGCATAAAATCATTTCCATCTAATCAATTAAAAACTGTTATATTTAAAAAATATAGATGTTATTCCAATGAATCATTCAAGGTGCAAATCAAATCACAAAAAAAAAGGTAAAAATCATTTACCTTCTCTGCTAAAATACGATCGCCAACGTGAAAAGTGGGATACATAGAGAGAGAAGGTATTGCTCTTGGCTCTGCAACACACGACTGCAACAACAATTTCACCGTCAAAGCCGACAATATCGTCTTCACATCATCTGATGTCGAATTCACCCATTGTGGTATCCACCTCTTCTTCCTCTCCTGAATCTCACACTCATTCCTCCTAATTTCCTCAACAACCTCACTAAAGTCACCATTATCAGAGCTCTCTCCCTTATCAACCCCCCGAAAAAAATCATTACAAGGGAGCCATTTCATCCCATTGAAAAAAGGAAGAAGAGAAGAAGTCTTTAAACAAATCCTAGAAGCAGGGGCCACTCCAAAAACCCCTGAATTATTAGAAGAACAAACCGAGGAAGATTTTATAATTGAAATTAACCCTAAAAGAAGAGGACATTGACTGCAACTCTCCGATAACAAATCCGAAGTTATCGAAAAGCAGGGAGAGCCTGACCACCCCGAACTGAGGGGTGGGGGGGCCGCCAGAAGGCTCCTGGAGTTCCCACGATCCCTGTGGATTTTCGGGAACCTCCCAGGCCTTATTCCGGCGGCCCCGGTGAGGGATTGGGCGAGGTAGCCAGAGAATGAGACTGTAACCCTAATTGCCATGGCAGAAATCTTGAATATGATCAGAAGCAATCGAAACAGTGGGCCTTCGAAGACTGGCTGGTGTTTGACGGATGCTTTAGGGTTCAGAGCGCCATTGATGAAAGAAGTTTCAGTGTTTTCTAGGGTTTTGGGGTGAATCTCTTACGGTTTTTACAGGGAAGTAAGACAGAGAGAGTAATTGAGAGGGCAGGTTAGAGAGAGCGAGAGAGAGAGGAGTACAGGGGAAGTTAGAGAGACAGAGAGAGAGAGGAGTACAGGGGAAGTTAGAGAGAGAACGGTTGGATCTCAGGGTCTGAGCTCTTCTCAGAGACTCAGGGAGGAGACAAAATGGGTCGCAAAGAAGGGTAATGGTACCGTGTAATGGCATTTATACAAGGCGGCTGCTTCATTTTTTAAGTATGACTAAAATGCCCCTAAATATTTAGCTAAAGTTCGGCACTCGATTGGCTAAAAACGTGAGTTAGTATTTTTGGGTTTTATTTAAATATTTATACTGGTGGTGGTTATAATCGGAACCGCAGGCGTAAGTCAAAGGGAAATCCAGATCAACGGTTAGAAATCGACAACAGTTCCAAACGCGCGGTGACACGGTCCTTGAATTGGAGAAATTTCCATGAAACGTCCATCAATTATTTTAGAGCTAAGCGCCGTTATGGCTCTAAATAATCATTAATAATAACCTTGAATTAGTAATTCCTGAGAATTTATCCTCTTTTAAGTTTAAATATAAAGTAAGATTTTTCTCTCTTTTTCCTTCATGAATGCTAAGTCCCTATCACAATGTATAGGCATTTTTGTGTGGAAGAGAAAAGGAAAACTCTTTCCAATAAGCTTTTTTTTTTTTTCGTTTTTTATGACTAACTCTTTCATCATCATTATAGCTTTTTTTCAATTAATTGGGATGAAAATAAAAAAGTTACATCTAGAATAAAATTAATAAATCTCTCCCTACAACCCCAAAGTTATCCCCAATGTTAATGGACTCGGCTGAGTTCGAGTCAGTCCCTTGCAGAGCATAGTACATAACAACTCGGGGTTTATTAAAAAAATCAAAAATATGAAAATTACACCGAATAACATAATCAATGCATCAATATTATTATGTAATTTGAATATTTTTTAAAATCATTTGGGAGTTTTTCTCTTCTTATACTATATTTTTATATTTTATGTTTTGTTGGATTTTTTGAAATGTTTATAACTGTAAATCAACTTTTTTTCTAGATCCATATTTGATATTGATCAACTTATTTATTTAGTTTGAATTTACTATTTTATTTACTTTTGCCCTTTTTTTGCATTTTTTTTTAGGGCTCTTTGGCCTTGTACCATTCAAACTTGCCAGGGTCGAGCCCAAGGCCTGAGCTTAGTTTCTAAACATTTGCTGTTAAAAAAAGGGGAATAGGAGTTAAAAGAAAAAGAAGAAAACTACTCCCAATTTGGCAATATGGTGATAGGAAGTGATTAAATAATTCTGAATATTGTAATAAGAAGCTTTAAGTAAGAAATTTTTTTTTTTGAGAAATTTAATGGAACCGGTTTTTAGGCGGCCAAGCCCACATATATAAAAATGCAAGTGTAGAAATGCAGGCCTATTAATAAATAGATTTTTGAGATAGATTTTTTGACTTAATTTTTAAAGACATGTAATCTCTAACATGAATATTATGAATATGAAAAAAAAAAAATTAAAAACTGAAAATAATAATTCTAGTATCATTTGGATGGTTAGGTTCCATGGTTCTTAGATGGAACACCTACTTATATTTAAGATGTCATGCGTTTCCAAAATTAAAATGGGTACGGTTTGTATGGAGTCAAAGGCTCTAAACAATCAAATTAGAGGCCAACTTCAAATAGTATCCAGAAATATGGTTTCAATATTGAAAAGTTTTGTGATACCCTTAAATTATATTTTTATTTTTTAGTTATGAAATTCAGAGCTTCAAAAGTAGTGTAGTTGAGCAGATCTATAAAAATCTTGAAATTTGATGGTCAAAAAATACATTACAAGATGCAATATTTTCAAAGCTTGAAATCTATTTTTTTCTTATGTCCATGCATCTAGATGTCGAGGTGATCAATTTGATATTTAGGCATCAAAACATCATCTTCTAGTGAAAGTTTTAAAGTGGGCTCTAATTTGATTGTTTAGAGCCTAGGCTCTATATAAACTTTTCCAATGAAAATATGGCTAAACGATCTACTTTAGTATGAAGGGATAACACGTCGTTAAAGTAAGGGCAATTGAGGATTTTTCAGTACAATAATGTAATGAATATGGGAGTTTCGTGGTGGATGCGCCCTTTTAAGCCGACAAAAGCGCCATTTATGAGATTCATTGGTATACTGTTTTCCTTTTGACTTTGATCTCACTGGCCAACGATTTACATTCATTGAATCTTCCACCAGTGAATGTTAAGCACTTACCCCCAATCTTTTGCCAAAATGAAGAACAAGCCCATGTACATTTCGGTTACTTGCTCAATTTAAAGGAAAATTAAGAAAGATCATTTATTTGTTAGGTGGTCACAGTTATTAGATAAATATGAAATTTGATAGGTTAAGATGTATAACAAAGCTAAAAAAAAGAAAAAAAACCTTTGGCATACTGCTAGTCATTGAGTGTACGACCCCCTTAATATAATAGAATAGTGGATCAGGATTTGTATAGTCGACCTTAATTAATTGTAAAAAAATTGTGATGATGATGGCATATTCCTAACCACCGGATTTTATGTCCATCAGTGAAAGTGTCCTCCTTGTACTAGAAATGAAGACATTTTTTTAGGTAATTTTTGTTTTGTTTTAAATTTTCTGTTTTGTTCACCTAATTGGGAAAATCTCCGTTGTTTTGGCCTAGATCGAATCACCAAAAAACATAGTCTGGTACCTACATCACGTTATCATGTTGAATTTGTTAGGGTGTGTTTGGTATGCGGAAGAGGGGGCTGCCAAAGCCCCTTCTTCCACAATGCGGAAGCTGTCTCTTCCACCATTTTAAAAAAAAAAAGAAATTCAAACCCAAAATCAAGAAAAAAAAAATCCCGAATGTATTGGAAAATGGGACTAAGACCTTCTTTTTTTTTTTTGTGTTGAGAATGTTGATATTCATTAAAATAATCAAAAGGAAAATAAGACATGAAGGATTCCAAAGTAAGTCACCCAAAAATAGGGTGTGTCTCTTAATTCTTGGTAGGGTTAGAAATGGGATGGACAACCCAACCCTAAAAAGCTTGGGTCTGGGCCACAAAATGTGGCATAAGGAGCGGGCTTGGCAAGGTAATGAAGGATTGGCCTGGTTCGGCCCATCCCGGTCTTTCTTTCTATTTTTTGTTTTTCTTTTGTTTTTTCCTTTGTTGTATTTGGCATGGCTCAGTCTTGATTAGGCCAAGGTTTGGTCTAATCCTTATTAGCCCAGGGCCTCTGCCCAAACCTGGGCCTTCCATATATCTTATATTTTTTTAATTTTTTGGGTGAGTCCGGGACACCCGACCCTCAAAAGGAATTTAGCTTTCAATTAAGGGAAAAGTTTATATAGAACCGAGGCTCTAAACAATCAAATTAGAGCCTACATCAAAAATTTCACTAGAAGAGATTGTCTTGATGCCTAAATATCCTCAAATTGATCATCTCGACATCAAGATGCATGTACATGAGAAAAAAATGGATTTCAAGTTTTGGAGATAGTGTATTTTGTAACGCATTTTTGGACAGTCAATTTTCAAGATTTTCAAATATCCATAGATCTATCGATCGATAATATTTTTAAAGTTTATAAATAAAGATGAAAATATATTTTTAAGCTGCCACAAAGATTTTCAGTTTTGAAACCACATTTCTCGACACTATTTGAAGGAAAGTTCTAATTTGATTGTTTTAGAGCCTAAGCTCTATACAAACCGCACCCTTCAATTAATATTTTTTTCTCAAAATGTTTTTTGCGCAATTTTTTAGTGAGCTTCAAACCCTTTAAGGTGTCCTGAGACATGGCAAGAAACGAAGGGCAAAATTGGGCACTCGATTGCTAACCCTAGCAACAAGTACGTAGCGAAGTCAGTGCTGACGACATGAGCATACCTCATAACATGTGCCAAAATTTTTATAGTCAACATTCTTAAAGTTTGGTCAATACCACTGTACCCCTGGAAGATTAATTCATGCAAAATTTTAATTAATATCCATTTTGAGATATATGATTATTAAAAAAAGAAACGATTTCATGTGTAAAAAATAAAACATTTTGTAACACATTATTTAGACATTCATTTTTAAACTTTTTGAGTATTTAAATTTGCTTGTTTTACATATTTCTTTAGCTTTAAATTTTTTAATTTGGTCTTAAAATAGTTTTTAGGTTGTTGTAGCATGAAACAACATCTTTTACCAATATTTAGAAGTGCACAGTACTTTGATTACCGTGTCATTTGGGTATGGCAAGGGTCAGGATCGTTACCCATAAAACAAACCAACTTTTGGTCCACAAGCGGACACAATTTGTTCAAATCCATCCGCCCTTCCAAAATCCAGTAAATCTAGAACGTAATTTCAAATACAACGAATATAAATTTAAAAATTATTTAAAAATCTTAAAATTAGTTGGTTTGGCGCATTATTTTTGGATTGTTCATTTCAATTGTACAAAATAATTTATTTTAAGATTTAAATTCTATTTTCTTTTAGATTCATAATCGCAGTGATGGAATTTTGGAAGAAGATGAACATAAATATGGAAGCCCCAATAACTTTTTCCATAAATTAATGACAAACAAATATTAATTGTCCACTCATTTTTTCATGGATTCAAGATCTGAAACATGATCCAAGTCCTCAAAATGCATTACTGTTTTAGATCCATAAATATGGACGCCCCAAAACTTTTTCCATAAATTAATGACAAACAAATATTAATGGTCCACGCATTTTTTCATAGATTCAAGATCTGAAACATGATTCAAGTCCTCAAAATGCATTGCTATTTTAGTTCCATGATGTTCAACCCAAAAATTAATGCCGATTTAAGATCCAGAAAGCCTTAAAACGAAAAGTCCAAATAAAGTTTTAAAAATATCATTTTTTTTAACTTTAAACCCCATTTTGTTCTTAGATTCACTATATTGACAGTCTAAGATTGTGGACCTAGTGAAATTTTAGATCCAAATCCGACTTTTTTAAAAGTGCGCATCATTTGAATAGGTGCATCGGCTGAGGCACCAAAACCCTACCAAAAAGGCCTAAATAAGGAAAAAAATAAAGAAAGTCTCGAATCTCACCGAAAGTTCCAATTTGGAGTTGAAAAACCTTCAAATCAATCATCTCGATATTAATCATTATGGATATGAAAAATAAGGATTTCAAATCCTAAAATACGTGAATATTGTAATACATTATCTAAACCATCTATTTTCAAATATTCATAGATCTGCTAGATCTTTAACGTGTATTTAGCTACAAATTTCATAATCAGTAATGGAAACAGATTTTAGAGTCATCCTTAGAATTTCCACACCGGAAGGGTTTTTTAGATGAAATTTTGAGGTGAGGCTTTACCTTTACGCATAAAGCTCAATCCTTCCAGAAACTGGATCCTAAATCATTTGAAAGTCCAAAATGACCTAGCATTAGAAGCTCCATCCCCGTTTCATATCCTCCCATGGAACTAGAAAGGAAAATAATTCACGTATAGGAGAAAATAACCATGCCTGTGCCTGTCCATGGGAGAAAAGAAAAAACAAAAAAGACACAAGGGTATGTTAAAGATATGCATGTGCGCATTCGTATCTATCGAAATCACCAAATTTACTGTCAATTTCAGAGTCCAGCGAGGTGAGCATCCAAGAGATTTGACCATTACTATTTCCACATGATTATTGTTGTAGAAAATCTTACAAGAGGTACACAACCTCAGAGTCTTCAGAAAAATATTAAAATAAGCTTTTCTCCTCAACAAGAGATGCATCTGCCCCATACAAGAGTTTTTACACCATGATACATTTTACCTGCAATAAAAGATCAGTGCAGGACTTCACCACAAACTCATCCTCAAATGCCTGGGGAAGAAAAATAAATAACAGAGGGAGAGAGAGAGGAAGTTAAAATATTATGGAGAAACCCAACCATTTTAAAGCAATTTCCAAATAAACCCTTCATTTTTGGGAAGTGGAAATAATCATTTCTTGTGAACTTGTGAACTTGGGATACATGGGCTCTCTGACAGTTGACGAGATTAAGAACTAACGCCGTGCGGTGCGAGCTTTAGGCTTCGTGGATTTCTGCAAAGGGCAAGACAACAGATCATGGGTGAATTTTTTTTTCTACAGGAAAAGCTACCATACAAGTTTAATAACTTTTGGGATATGCATCTCTCTCTCTATTTCTCTCAGAGTGATCCAAGTGTGCATTCCTTATATGACTATACAGACACAAGAATGAATGTGTGCATGTGAACTTCTGAGACACTGAGCTGTTAAGCTAAATCTAACAAAATTAGTAATTGATTGCAGGGTCAATTTGCAGTACGACAGTCTTCTTGTTACTTGAACTTGGAAGCTGACTCTATGAACCTTCGCCAATAAGATTTTCGCAATGCAACAATGAGGAACTCAACAAAACAAATGGTTCAGATAACTTAAAGGGAAAAGTTTATATAGAGCCGAAGCTTTAAACAATCAAATTTGAGCCTACCTCAAAAATTTCACTATATCACTAGAAGAGGCTATTTTGATGCCTAAATATCTTCAAATTGATCGTCTTGACATCAAGATGCATAGACATGAGAAAAGAATGGATTTTCAAGTTTTGGAACGTATTTTTGGACCATCAATTTTCAAGATTTTCAAGTTTTCCTAGGTCTGTCGATCTACACTATTTTTGCAGCTTTAAACTTTATAAATAAATATGAAAATATATTTTAAGGCTATCACAAAGATTTCCAATATTGAAACCACATTTCTTGACACTATTTGAAGGTAGGCTCTAATTTGATTGTTAAGAGCCTAGGCTCCATACAAACCGCACCCAAACTTAAAAGCCTGATTAGTGAAAACTTTAATTCATAAAGTGAAGAAGAAAATTGTGAAGAAGAAAATTAACTTACAGTGGTAGCCCCAAAGCTTAACCCTGTTCCAGGCCCTACAGACAAGTATATAGGCGTATAAGTAAGACGGAACTCAAATAACATTTTTATTCCATCAAAAAGGTGAATTCAGGACTTTCCATGCTACTGTAAATCTCACAATTAAACAGTACGGCAGAAACCATTGGAAACTCATTCACTATAGGATTCAGGCTTTCGGCATGAGTGGTTAAAGTGTTGAAAATTGCAAATTTGCATCACAATGTCCCAAGTTGGAATGCTACTACTAAACTACACCAAAAAAAAAAAAAAACAACCAAGGAATGACCTGATTCACAAACACGTAAATTGAAGAGAAAATAACAAAAATATCACATCGTTCCAACTCTTCAAAGTTGGCACTAAAGAAATAAAGGCCAAATGCACACTACTATCGAAATCAATGTTCAAGAAGGCATAGGCTCTGGTTCTCATCCCCCGAATTCTTTGTTCTCACCCCGTGTTCTGCAGTTGCAGATGCACCGGGCCGGTAGAGGCACTACTGGAGTGGGAGGTAGGAGACTTGGACAGCCACCAAGGCAGTGAGGGCTCTGGGCCACCTAGGCGATATGGCCGCTTCCTAGACCCAAAGGTGGCCATTGATTTTATTTTATTTTTAAAGTTGGTTCCCCCACACCTCCCCCCATTTTATTGTATATTTTGTATGCTTTTTTATTTAATAAGTAAGTTTCAGCAACTGCTGAATAGGTTTCTTTCGGAGCTTCATTTTTGCATATAATATATTGTTAAGATGCTGGAAGCACAGATCAAACATAAACATTTACGACTTTAGACTGTAAATGCAATAATTATAACTCAAAATCAACATTAAAAGATAAAATCAAGTCGCGATGTCATTTAAATCTCCCAAATCATAAGTCACAAAAGTTTCAAAAGTTATTAGAAGAAAGTCACATCTGACCAACAAAGGCCATAAACTACAAAAAGTCTCCTTCACCCCACAAGTCTGATGAACTCAATTGTGAGCTTGAGTTTCATCATCACTAGCAATTATTTAATAACCATTAAGCAAATATTAAACTAACTAATAAAAAAAATATGGGTTATGAATCATAAATCGAAAAAGCATATTACACATGCAATTATTTAATAAGCAATTAAGCATTAAGTAATTATTAAATTAACTAATTAAAAAAATTATGGTTTATGAATCATAGATGGAAAAAGCATATTACACATGCAAGTATTTAATAAGCATTAAGAACTTATTAAACTAATTAATAAAAAAATATGGTTTATGAATCATACAAGTAAATTCATGTATAAATCTAAAAAAAACAGAAGTAAAAAACAATATTCATTCAGTTTGGGTAAATTTATGTATAAAACTAAAAAAAAACAAAGTAAAAAGAATATTCATTCAGTTTGGGGGAAAATAATACCCAAACTACATATCATGGGAAAATAATAATCCAAACAGACAATAACATATCAAATATATATCACAAAGTATAAAAAAAAAAAAAAAATTACAAATAGCAATTAATAACATCATTAGACATTAAGGGAAAAAAAATACAAAACCTAATGAAAACTAATGAAACATACCAACCTTTTTGAAGTGGACTCGATTTCGGGCAAAACTGAAATGTTTGGCATCCCAAATCTCCTCTTTTACAACCCCTATAATCCTCAAAAAGTTTTCGGATGAATATCCTTTAATATCGTGACCATTCGAGGATTTCGAAAAAAAATTCGATCTCTCAAAAAATCTTCAAATCTAGTTTTTTTCAAATTGTTTCTCACTCTAAAATTCACTTAAATTGTTTTTGGGGGCAAGAATGGCCCCCAAGCCCTTATTCCCCCTTTTAAGGAGGTTAAATTATATTTTTTGCCTTCTCCCGAAAAATATTTTCCGCCAAGTTCGAGGCGCTAGGCACCCGCCTTTTACAATGCCTAGGCATGCCCTTGCATATTCCGCCTAATATTGTCCGCCTTAACCACACCTAGGCATTTTTTTAAAAAGTCTGCCTAGGCGGTCAGGCGGCCGACTTTTCGTTCGTTGATGGAAATGAAGAGCTGAAAAATCATTCATAACAGACAGACTGGTATATCTATAATTATAGCATAAGAAACAACTATGGATTATAAACAATTAATCATAAAAAAACTAATGCCTACGAAAGGTTGGATTATTTAGCAAGAACTATGATTACTCAAGTTCCAGCGTTCATTAAGTCACTTGGAATAATAAATAATAGATAAATGTCCATAATGAAACTTAAGACACCCCATCAAATAAAAATAACATAAGGGGCATCCAAACAAAAGAACATAGGAAGCAATTTTCTGAAATTTGCCCATACCTATGGCTGGTGTTGAAGTGAATGGCAAGCTTCCAAATGCTGGAGTAGCAATGGATGGCGCACTCCCAAGCAAAGAAGGCGTCGATGAAGACCCAAACAAAGAGGGCGTCGTTGGGGTTCCAAACAAAGAAGACGACTGTGATAACCGACTTGATGCAAAAGGGGTGGCCTGCAAATTGGGTGTGGCGAATAAAGAAGAAGATAAGTTTGAGGTTGAAGTGGAAGCCGAGGTTGGGGTGTTAAAGAGAGAAAAACCACTAGAAGTTCCTCCAGCCATTATGGGAGTGGATGACGAGGCTCCTGGAAAGGAAGATGAAGGGGTTGATGAGCAAGCGAAGAGACCAGCAACTTGTGTTAATGGTTGGGGAAGTGAAGGCAAGTGCAAAGTAGGATGGACTCTTCTAGCTGCTACTTCTTGTTTGGCAGTTTCCCTCCTATCGGCCTCAAGAAATGGATCGTTACCCTCTCCTCTACGACGTTGGTCTGCAAGATATGCAGCTCGCATTGATTCCATATGCTGATGAAGAGTCTCAACCTGAAAATGAAGGCAAACCAAAAGATAAAAATTAACCCCTGGAACCAAAAGAATAAATTTAATTTCCCAGTAACACAGGAATTATGCTTTATGATATGGGAAGACTGAAAACTCTTGACATACATAATGGTAATTGGAGCATAGAAGTAATAAAACCAATCCCCACTCAGTATAATGAAGAACCAAAAAACTGACCAACTTTAACAAGATAAATGTTTTAATGTCTATCTTAAAATATCAAGAACGTCAAGACTGACAACTAGTGGCATGCATGGTACCCTACATGAAAAAAAGTAAGATTCGTATATAATGATGAAAAATGTAAAGTAAGTAGCATGATTCTTTTTCTTTTCTTTTTTAAATAACTTTCACACAATTGAAATATGACAATATTAGGAAGGGAAAAAGCTGAAGTTCCAGGAATATAGCGATTACAGCATACTAATCCAGTATAACACACCACAATAAAGGTATTAATACCTTGGCAGCCACATGAACAAAGAAATCATGCACATTTGACATCACTGCAGGTAGAGAGTCCAACAAGGTTAAGTCTGTGTTGCCATTCCCATTTTCATCAGACCCCCTTAAGAGGAGCTGCTCTAACTCTTCAATCCATTGTCGACACTCTGCAAGATATTTTTCAAATCTGGCAACTGTATGTTGCAAGAAAGGGGAGGGCCTCCGAGGAATCCCACTATAGTAATCTATAACTGGTACAACAGAAGTGGCCTTTTGTTGGGTATTCGGGTTTGCATGCGTCATTGCTCCTGAAATCGGTGGAGTGCTGCTATGTGTTGTAGTTGAACCACGCGTATGAACAAACCTTGGATGGAGCATCATAAATGACCAAACTGCAACCTCTGTGTTTCTCATCATACCCTTTACAACACTCATCAGTTCCTGCAGTAGGATTTTCTCTCTCTCCATAGCTGTACTGATTCCTCCAAGTTCCTGTGAATTGATAAAACCTCAGTAACAATGACCCAAAAATAATATATATATATATATATCATCATAATATATAACTATTTGTTATATTCAAGACAAACTATGGACAAAATTCCATTATATAAATTGGAGAACTATATAGAATCCTAACAATTGCACCACAATCAAAACAATCTTTCTCCCTCACTCAACTGCAGATATGGAAGTCTCGATATGCATCCCCTAAATTTCATGCCAAGAACAAAGTTTGCCTCTTAAAATTGTTAGACACAAGCGCAATGTTAATCAGTTGATTCAGGTGGTGGCCCAACATTTTGTTATGCCCCTGTAAGCTTAGGCCCAAAAAAATCAGCTCTGCATCGGGAATCACCCCCATGCCAAGCCATGTGGCCCGAGTCTTGCAGATTAACCTTAAAAAAAATAAAAAAAAGTGCCAAACAAAGCATCAACATCATCTAAGCCTTATCCCAACTATTTGGATCAGCCACATGAATTCTGTTCCGCCGTTATGCTCATAGGTTTAGAATTCATGCGAAGATTTTGGCAAAGTTTTACACTGGCTGCCCTACCAAACTCAACCTTCCTCCTTTACGCAGGCTTGGGACCGGCTTGGGGCTGGCCAAGGGGGAGTTATGTAGGAAAAAAAAAAAAAAACCGCAGAAACTCCAAAACAATCAGAAAAATCATAAAACACCCAAAAATATCATTCTAAATCATAGCATGTACATGAAAACATCGAATAGGGCAAATAATGTTATTGTCTTGAAAAAAAAATTGAAAAAATATAATAAATATAAGAAAAGTCAAGAACATATACAACATGAATTATTGTAAACACAAATCAACTTTATGAATTTAAATTGGAAAAAGATCATCATACTCAAAATTTCAACACCGGTCCCAAAATCTTTGCACTTGGTGCAAATAAATGCCTCTTTATACTATCAAAGCTTCCTCACACAACCCCAATCAAAACCCACAAACCAATTTTGGGTTTCAAGATTGGATCTAGGAGTTCCCAACTCTTGAGAATTTTGGATGAATAGTAAATCCGGTGTTTTTTTTTGTGAAAATCAAGCCCCGTGTTTGGATCAAGAACACAAAAAAAAAGCTTGGGGACAAAATTTCATCAGATATTGACCACCAATTGCCAAGAAATCGCAATTTTTCAAATTGGCCAAAAACTTGGCCCAATTTTTCAATCTAAAAAGTCTCTCAAATCTTGAGTTTATTCTCATATCCATTGTTCCTAACCGCTAGATCACGCTGAAATTTGACTAAGGTTACAATTTGGGCTCAAATGTATAACCCTAAAGCTCAAAATTGAAGAAATAAATAAAAATAAGGGGGTGGATTTCCGGACTCCATTTTAAACTTCAAAGCGAACAGTACTCGGATGAGTACTGCAGCAACTTGCTGGAGTATGTAGCAACTTGGGTGATTCATGCTCAAGTTCTACAGTGTTCAGGCAAGTTACTACTGTACTCACCGAAGTAATGTACAATGCACCCTGTTCTGGACTCAGAAACCTAATGAGTCCAAGTCACTCGCCCCATTCCGAGTTAATTCGAGGGAATTTTAAAACACTGCTGACAATGCAAGATTATGGGCATTGTAGAGGAGATTGCAACAATAGTAGGATGGTGGCTATTTCTTTCAAACACCACAGAGAGGAGGCAGATTCCTTTGCTAGTGAGGGAGTAGCCCGACTTTCTATATCAATTAACGTATGAATTTCTACATGTTAAATCTCTGTTTCGCAGTATCAAAAGTTGTCTTGATGTATACCTCTTTAAAGCAACGATTAAGAAATTATAAAATGAAAAAGATTCTAATCAACTAGGCTTCACATGAGAATGCAACGATTAAGAAATTATAAAATGAAAAAGATTCTAATCAACTAGGCTTCACATGAGTATAAGACTGAGAAAGTTCACTAGACCAACCAATCGAAGAGTCAAATCACAAGTTCGACAAGTCTTTTTATAAACTTGGCAGAAATTCAGCTGAGTCGGTATAAGAGTCAGATGACCCTTCTAAATCAATAAAACATTACCTTCCCATGTAAAGAGTGGGATCACTCATGTTACCTATCCAATTTCCAGTGACTTGGATGATTCTATCATTTTGCCCCACTAAAACCATGGGTGGCATCTGGAGGGGCTCAAGGTTGAGAGAAATTTGAATAGTGAATGTTATGTTTTACATTTGCAAGGGGCTTCTTTATCCTTGGCATTTAAGGCATTCTAGACTTCTAGTCATTCTGACCTTACCTATAAAGTCACCTTGAATAAGGTTATGGGATTTTACATTTTCAGATTTGCCACAAGCTAACGTGTTATCAAAGCCCTATTTGGGATACTGAAACTTAACTCAGACTCTATCTCGGTAAACTTTAGGCCATTTAGATGTCAGAATTTCAAGTAATTCCATGTTGACAATTTGTGATTTAGTTTTAATAGTCTTAGAAATTTGATATTATGGAGTATTGCAAGTGTGATCATTACTTTATTAGTAACATGTGAAGGCATCTGAGTCTGAATTATAATTAGGGCAAAGGTTGAAATAAGTTCTGTAAGATCTTTCTCCAATTAGAGTGTGTGTGGAGATACTGAAAAGAAATCAATTTCTAATGGACATTCAATTTCTTATCACAATTCAATATTTGTGGCATTTGTATGACCCTAAATTTTGCACATACACTCTTTTCATCCCAATAATCAATCCCAAACAAAAAAAAATCAATTTCCTCTTCAAAAAATAAAATCAATATGCCCCATAGATATGGTCACAATGAGTGCCCTCCAAAAAATGAATCTCAACTATCCATTTGGTCAATTTCAAGACCTAGGCCTTTACGAATTCAAAAATCAGTTTTTTCTTTTTTAACATTGTTACTATAATGATAATAAAGCTATCTAAAAAATTTAGAAATGAAAAAATTCCTTCTAAGCCCTACATCTAAGTATCTCACTAAGACGGATGATATATATTAATAGGGCTTAAAAAGTACTTTATAGGATGTGTTTACAAATTTTGCATTTTTGTGATTGTTCATTTTTAAAAATTGAGGTCAAACAAATGACTCTAACATGGTTTTTGAATATTCTTTCATTATATTACTATAGAACCATTGCATGATATCACTTCCCATTGAATATTTGTGAAGGCCCAAAGGCTGCTGAACTGAACTTGTTGTGTAACATCTAGACCCAAGAGGATTTGATAAAAGATTATCAAACCCTGAATTTAAAAACTTTTAGGAAATTGTTATTAGCAAGTTTGCTTTTCAGAATCTTTGAAATCATACTTTTCAGCTTGAGATTCAACGCATTTGAGAACCTGTGTTTTGAGCATCTTTAAACATGTGAAGTTTCTAGCTTTAAACATGTGAAGTTCTAGAATGATCCTCCAAACATACCACAAGATACAAAGATCTTCCCAGTTTTAATAAATGGTCTACAACAGGGATCTGTTTATCCTTATGCAGAAGGTTCAATTTTTTTTAATACCGTCATCTCCACTGCTCCAACGCTTGTTATATGAGATTTTCCGTAATTACTAATAAAAAAATTAAAACACAGGGTACTGGATGCAATTTCGTGCGACTCAGTCAAATTTCTCCCTCTTTCTACTGCAGATGAACTTTTTTTTTCTACTCATTAATAAGTGAGATATACTTCTAGCTGCACTCAATACAGACAAATGGAGATGCATGCAGTGAAAGAAAGGCATAAATAGAGTCGAAACAGTTATCAGGTGCAAAATCAGATGTACAATATACAAATGATGGACTTGCACAAGCCATGGCAAGTTTATGGCAGGAATCTCAGATGATGTTTATATGGGACATCTGGTAAGCCCAACAAAGAAACAATAATATTGCTAATGTGTTTCAAAATTATAGCAATCATCATGAGATTCTTGATTTGAACTTCTTAAAATATAAATTTTCTCTGACTAGCACTCACAATTGTTTAAAACAGCGTTTAAAAACCCAGACTTGAGCTTCGACTGGGGTCCCGAGCGTGAGTCAGAGGACCCTCACTTGCCAAGTTGTTGACATAATGCTGATACTGAATAATACTACGGTACTTGTAAGCATAAAGTGACAGCTAAAAAAAACATAATGAATGAGTTATAATATTAGGATTATGACATGGTATGTGTGTGTGAATGTGCTGGATACATATCATACAAGCTTTAATATACATATTTATAAAATGTGGTAAGATAGGATACTTGTAACCCTGTTCCGAATTTCAAGCAATCCCGAGTCCTGTCCCTCCATAAGAGCATCTAGGCATCTTAAACTATAACTAAAAGAAAGAAAGCAATTACATTTTTTTGTACATCCCATGCAGTTCAGCATTGTCGTCCAGGGCAAAGTAACACAAGAAAGTGTGCATTTGTCTGCACACACATTCCATGAAAAGGGGAAAGCATGAGCCCTAAGAAATCAAAAAATGATAACAGAATTTTAACAGTGCCTACATCCTTCAAGGATCTGAGCCATACCAGGAAGGTTCCAAATAACATGTCAATAAATCCTCCAAAAAAGTTCCAAAGGCCATCTATATATTGCCGTATGAAGTCATGAACCCATAGATTCTATACATAGAAGTTATCAAAAGACAAAAAAGTGGAAAAAAAATCTATACCAAGTGAATTCTAGACTTTGACACAGAAGCTGCAGCTAAAAAGGCATGCACCAAAATTCATCTTTAGTTCAAGAATCAACAGAGACTAGAGCATTTTTTCGACAATAACCAAGTCCAGATCATCTATAATTACATATGATTTAAACAGCCCTGTTTGATGATTTGATGGAAAGCAATCATAAGACAATGCCTTGCATTTATTCAAGTAGCTTAACAGCGTATCAAGCAATAGGAAGAATACGTAATGCATCCAAATTGCAATTTGTATTTCCATATGAGTGCCTACAAATCACTGAAAAATAAAAATGGAAACAAAGGGAATGCGACAATAGTATAATTTTTTTATGAAATGTTAAACAAAAACCATGTTCAAACAATTGTTTTTCTTTCTTTTTGGGATAACAAAATCAGAATTTTTGTACCAAAGAACAATAAATAATGACTATGGCCGGGACTCAACCTGAATTATATGACAAGCATCAAGCTCAAATGCATCATTGGAGACTGAGGTATCATATAACCGACTACACTGATCCAACCTCTGGCTTTCAACCCTGTACTCCAAGATCCGCTCCCTACAGAGAAAACTTCATGTCAGCATCTCATGTTTATCATGAAAATTTGAAATGAGGACATGCAAAACAATAAATTTAATGGTTGCATGAGAATACCCAAGTTGATTTGATGTTGCTAACGGAGTAGAACCAACAAAAAAGTAAAAGGAAAAAAGAAAAAAAAAAATTCACATGTTATTCATAGAAAAGCAACAATTTGTTAATATCAAGTACACATGTTATTTATAACAACTGTAGCACCTTATAGCAGGGTGAATGCCTCCAATTAAGTTCCAGTCTTTTCAAGCATATGCTGCACGAAGTTTGGCCATGCCCCATGTTCCGAAAAATTCAGAACTGCCACCGATGGGCGTTTGTCCTTTATTTCTAATTTCTCTTTGCTAACATATTAGTATTATTTCATGTTGATATGATGCTTTTCCCAGCATTTCTAATAGCTTTTTTATAGTTATCTGTAATGTTTACAGTTGGATACATGGTTTTCCAGACTACTTCTAATTCCTATTTTCCAAACACTGGTAATATTTCCTGTTTGGTAATTCTATTATGATAAAGATATTTGGAGTTTAACAATGTTATACTTTCATCAGTGCTACCTACACAGACCATTCATGGTAGCAAGCAATTTTATAGCATCATAAATTCAGTCTAGGCAGTATAAATAAGTGAATGGCAGCTTAGGAGAAACAGCAAAATTATTATATTATCATTCAGAAAATATACCCTAAAATCAGTGGAGATGACTTTGTCGTTACTATCGAGGCTCTTCTGGATGGTTAGGAAGTATGGGACCAGATTGAGAAATGGAGAGAAACGTATTGGCCTCATTTTTAGAGAGAGAGCGAACCAGAAGTAGAACAGGAGCACTCACCAAAGTGCAAACTTTAACACCAACAAACCAGACATCCGAAAGCTAGCCCTAACACGAACTATAACCCATTCTTTCAAAGATAAAGCACGTGAAGAGAGAGAAATTACTCAATTTCGAGCAGGAGCTTCTGCGACTCCGGATGAAGATCCGACCATGTAGTCTGATAAGATGCAGGAGCCTTCTCATTGGTGAAGAGATACATTTGTTGTTGCACCTGTTGCTGCTGTTGTTGTTGAGGAAAGGCATAGTTTTGTTGAATTAGAGGCGTGGTTTGTTGCAGAGGAGACTGGTTACCGAAAGAGAAGGCCATTGAAGAAACCTTCTCTCTAAATTTATCCAGTGATTTTCAGGGCAAGAAAACCATGGCGAAAACCTTCGCTAGATTTGGGGGAGCTTTCTGGTTTAGAGGGGACAACGTTAGATTTTGAGGCAACGATTTCAAAATTGAAAAATGAAACGCCATAGACATGGGGGGGAGTTCCAAACCTTCCTTAAACCCTAAAATGGAGCGAAGACAAATGCTTTTTCGCGAAAATGGCAAACGGGCCCTTATGGTCCTATGTTATGGGAAAAATGACCGAATTGACACCATCTTTTGACTTGGGCCTACAGAGAATCCAGAAATTTATCAAAACAATGCCCAGATATGTATTATTTGGCACCTATCACTGGTTTGTCCTGATTTCAAATGCTTACCGTCAAGGATGAGTTATTGTTTAGTGATTATTTGATACGTAATTTTGAATATTTTATGGTTAAAACTTAAAACTAGTGTTTTGAAAAATACATTTGTGGGATGGATTATTCATCCATCTGGATAATTTTTTAAAATTAATAATAAAAAAAAAGAATAGACTATATATTCCAATCTAATTTTTTTTAAAGAATAAAGAATAGACAATATATTCCGGTCTATAAATAACAGGCAAAGTTATAGTGAATGTTAGATTGTCACATAAGGGGTATAGAGAATGTGGGAACCTCTTTCCTACATTGTCTTTTGGAAATTTGTTTCATGCGGCAGGGACCTTATTTCTACATTTGTGATTCTCGAGATATAAAGCATCTGGTCCATCTAAACATAATTAAAACTATCGGTCCAAATGTTTTTTTAATAGGATTATTATTTTTAATTTTCAATTTTTATTTATTTTTTCATATTCATGATCTCCATGAATATATAATAAGATTATTATTTTAAAATTTCAAATTTTATTTATTTTTTCATATTCATGATCTTCATGTTAGAGCTTACGTATCCCTAAAAATTAGAACCAACTCAAAAGTAGATTTTTAAGAGGTGACCCATTTCTACATGGACTCATAATCCGTGTCCCTGCCTTTTTGCTAAGGCTATCTAGGAATGGGGTTTTAAGGTCATGGGAATCCAGATGATGCTACCTAGGGGAGATAGTAATTTACTGTTGCTCATGGAGTTGCCGGATATACAAAGGTGTGGCCAGTTACTGTGGAGGATTTTTAGAGTAGTTGTGTTGTGGGAGGTATGGATGGAAAGAAATAGGAGTGGTTTTGAATATGAATGAGGTTCTAGTGATGTTGTCAAATTCGCTTCGAAGTCTTATTTGGTTTGGTAAGCAAAATGAAGCAATTAGGTGCTTCGGCCGATTTGGGGGGAGACCTCGGATTTAAAACATAAAAATATACATATATATTAGATATTTATATATAAAATTAATAGAACAATTTACAAAGTATACATTTTTATGTAGGTATTTCTTTTCTGACCAAAGCTTCGGTCGAAGCAGACCAAAGCGACCCGAATCTAACTAAACAGAATACCACGCTTCTCTTCGCTTCAGTTTATGCTTAAAATCTGTAAGCTTGGGCTTCTTCAACTAAAACAAAGCGAATTTGATAACATTGGGTTCAAGACAGGGTTTTATATGATGTTTGGAGCTAGTACTCGGTCACCAATGAAGGATATGGGAGGTCCAAGGTTGACATTACCATGAATTTGAAAAATCTTATAATGGGTGTCAATGAAGCGAAGAGGGAGATGATGGACAACGCCACTACCCAGTTGCATTAAACTCAATTTTGATAGAAACACTTTTAGAGAATCTAGGTTTGGCTCGGATCGATGGACTTGTGATAAATTCTGGTGATGTTCTTTTCTCCTTTGTTGGACCGTGTGGTACTTCAACTGCTAATAAAGCGGAATGTTGTGCACTTCTACAAGGTTTGAAATTGGTGAAGCAGCACAAAAATCTTGTGAGCTGCTTAGCGGTAGGAGGAGATTCTCTAAATATGATCAATTGGTGCAACAAGCGAAGTAGACCTCCTTGCGCTTTACTACATATTTGGGTTGAGATCATGGATATCAGTATGGATTTAGATATTTCTTTTCAAACATGTTTACAGAGACGCAAATTACGTTGCTGATTTTCTAGCTAAAGGTGGGGCCTCACATATCTTGAAGTCTCGTATGGTTTTTTGGTTTGATTCTATAACTCTTGTTTCTGTAATTTTTTATGTATTGATCTATTGATTAATAAAGGTCAGTACCGTTTTCAATATCGTTGGTTTTCAAATCCATACCGGATTTTAAAAAAAACTGATTCGCTGATCAAAATCGTTGGTTCGCTAATCCACACTAGATTTTTGAAAAAACTGGTTCAGCCAACGAACCTAAAATTTGAAACACTGATTTTGACATTAGGGAAAAATTCCCCATTCATCAATTTAACCCCATGTTATGGACATTGTCAATGCTTTTCGAAAAGAGAATAAAAAAACCAAAAATGACTTAGGTTTTTATGAGATTGTCTATAAAGAGACCATTTATCTTTTGTATAGAAAGGTCACAATCATTACTGCCTCTTAAAATTCAAAATGGGTAATTGCGAGAGTGTCATTTAATAGATACAAAGTTCCAAAAAAATAATAATCTTGGATTTCGTGACTCATCTTAAACCATCAAATTTGACATTTAATAAGTGAGAATGAGTGTGACCTCCATGTACAAAAGATAAATAGTATATTTGTAAATGATATGGGTTTCTATTGAGGGGCAAAATTTCGTTATCTTCAATTTAAGCATTGAGGATACCTTGGTGGACTTATGGCATCCTTCAATTAAACTAATACTTGTAGGGCAAGCTTTCTATACTTCCCATACTACATAAAACTTATATACTTCTCCTTATCCAACCGTCTATTCTGAATGGAGGGCTAAGATTGCCCCAATCACAATATCACATCTCTACGCTATTTTTTTTTTTAATCTTTTTTCTATAAACTATTTTGACACCAAATTTTGGACGTCCACTCCTCTATTAAACTCGTAATAGCGAAAAATATTAAAAAAATATTTTCAATAAATAAACTACCAAAATACCCCTGAAAGATTTAAAGGGTATTTTGATCATTATATTTTATCAAAAAAAATATTTTAAATATTTTTTATAGGTGCGCCCCAATGAGAAGATGGCACGTATCAAATTTCATATTCATACAATTTGTATAAAAAAAGTAAAAATACAATACTTTGAGACGCTGGATCTAAGATCAAACGGTGAGCAGCTCTCTTGATCAAAATTGGACAGCTAGATGGTAGGGGAAGCATATATCTTCAATGCCGTAGGGGAAGTATATAAACTTTTTCCATACTAGTAATATGCACATGTGATGCACATGACATTAAAAATTAATCACTGAAATGTATTTATTATTAAAATATATTATCAATAAAACATGGTAATAGAGTGAGAAAATTTAATGAAAATATCTTCACAATTTAACAAATAGTTTAAATTATTTATACTACATTATTAAGCAAGAGTTGAGGGGTGGACACATGTCATGAAAATAAATAAAGTCCCTAATGTTATAGAGGGTGTAGGACATATTCCCTATATTTATTCCTAATGTTATAAAGGTTGTAGGACATATTCCCCAAATTTAGGGAACGAGAGAGGCTAAAATTTGTGCATGTAAAGTATAGATTTAAAGAAGAGAGAGATATAAAGTACATATTTTAGGAGGAGAGAGATATTGTTTCCATATCTTTTTTTTTTCCTTATTTTTTTTGTTCAAACTTTCTATGGTATCTATCTCCTACTCAAATTCAAGAGAGAGAAAGATATGCATAAATATCTAAGATTATTTTCATATCAAAGAGGGTTCTCCATCCAAGCATGACAACCTCTCTCAATGCATGCACACCCCTCTCTCTCTATCTCTTTCTCTCATTAGTTAGAGTTTTGATGTTATAGAAGTTAGAAAACCCTAAAGGGACCTTTCATTTAGTATTGTGTGCTTAATTGTGGGAAGATAAATAAATGTTGGTGCCTATTTTTCTGCATTTAAATTTTACTATTGCAATAATTTGCAGGTTTAAAGCTCGTATTGAAGGTAAGTCATAGTAATTCCTATTATTTATTTTCTATTGTCTTTGTTTGCATTTTTTAGTTGTTTGTATTGAAGGTAAGTCATAGTAACTTTTTTTATTTATCTATTGCATTGCCTTTGTTTGTATTTTTTTGAAATGTTCTTTGTATTTTTTGAAGATTGATAAACATATTAATCTTTAAAGACAAGTTAAACCTTGCTTTTCCCTTGCAATTATTTAAAAATAAATAAATAAATCATAAGTACTTGCTTTGAATTAATTTGTACATTGTATTCTTTTATGGACGTGATGTTATTTTGTTTTGAACATCTTCCCAATTGTAGGAAATCAAGAAGCCTAACATATTCTTTCCAAAGCCCGCGCTCCATAGCTTCTCGATAATATGAACCAAAAAATTAAACTATTTGCTCTCTAAAAGCTTGAGCCAGCAGTAGCACTAATAAAATAATAAAATAATATTTTTTATATTTTTTTCATTTTTTACCATAATATTCAATAAAACAATTGATAGAACAACTAACCAATTACTTTGTCTATAATAGTCCATGCATGCACCCATATATTCATTTTGATGTAGTGCAATATTTATGTGCGATAATAAGTTCCGTATTTGTCACATGCATTCACTATATGTTTAAAATTTATAGTGATATTACATAATAAGAAATACATCATAACTCTAATAACTCTTATCTTATTTGTTGTATGAATTGCTGAATCAGTGTTCAATACATATTCAAATTTTGTAATGACTATGTAATAATAGGGAAGGTGTGTGAATTGTTGAATTAGTGTTCAATACCTATTCAAAATTTGTAATTACTATGTAATAACATAAAATGGATCAAAACCCTAAAAACCACTCAATTTGTAAGAGTTATTTGAATACAAAAAGATGAATATAAAGATTCACATTCATGTGCTCATTTGTGAGTGATGGAAAAGGCTTATCAGCATATGCAATATACACCGTCTCAAAATTCAAAAACTAATTTTTCACAAGGCGTTTCTACACCAATGACTAATACTATTCTTTCATTATCAATCCAATTCTCCAATGACAATAATTTATTTCACTTCGAGAGAAAAGGTCCTCCTGCAATATTGACAATGATAGTGGTGTAAATTCAAAATCATTGTCGTTCTATACAAATTTTCCTCACATAT